CTCTAACCAAATCTTTAGCTGTATTTATTGTTTTACCAGTCTTACGCAAATATCTTTTGCCATTACCCCAATTTTTCAATGGAATGGAACTGTGTGCAGATTGATGGACTCAAGCTTTTCGATATGAATTTGATGTCTCTCGAACTGTAGCACTTTTCTTCAAATAATGACAAGAAGCAATTAGGCCAGAATCAACAGGAAACATCGTGACTTCGATAAAGGTAAAAAAAGTCTAGCTTGCAAGTATTCTTTGATGTAAATATCCGAGTTTAAAGTTGACGATGTGACAAAAGCTCGAGATCTCAAACCTCAGCTGGATATTGCTTGCCAAAATTTAATCTTTAAAAAACTCTGGAACTTTATACCTTTTGGGTCGTCCTCTGTTTGATAAGCCGGGATTTGGGTGAATGATCGTCGAATACTAATTGCTGCTTTCTTATCCTTAAAGCCACTCTTTCTTCCAGACCCTTTTGCTCTTTTGATAGATAAAGAGCTCTTGTATTGTTTTATGACCATATAAAAAGTAGTTTTGCTATTTTGTAGATAGTACTGCAGAATTTTTTTTCATTTTTTCTAAATATTTCAATGACATTTTAATTAAGAGAATCATTTTGACTTATTTGTTGATGTTTTTAATTAATACTGTAATTACTTAATGCAATTACGCGGAAAAAAAAATTAGTAATGTGTTAGTGACAAGTTTTAAAACAAAATTCATCGTTTCAAATTTAACGATCTTATGTTTTAGTATAATTTAAAAGATTAGAATAACCTTTAATCATTAAATCGGGCTTATTTAAAAATATAGTAAATATTTAAAATTATAGTATCATTATAAAAATACAATATAAAGCAATTTATGCAATACTGTAATGTTTTCATAAACAATTTACATTTTTTTTAAATAAAGCATATTAAGAAATACTGTTAAAGGATAGTATTTTGTTGAGCACAAAATTGTTAAAACAATCATTTTTATTACGTTTTGGCAAGACCGTAACTGTAAGAAGAAATATTTTAAAAAAATAGAAACTCAATAAATAATTAATTCAACAAGTAATTCATTAAACAATAAATGAACAAAGTTTGTCTCCAGTAAAAAAAAAACATACGTTTTATTCATTAAAAAAAACAAAAAACACGAAAGCCGCTCAATTTTTGCGGCTCCATCGATAAATAGCGGCTCCCCGGCTCCACGGCTCTAGCTCGGCATCACAAGCCTGATTTTGCCGCATGTTTTTGACTAAAATAAATAGTACTCAATTTGGATTGTGTATACTTGCCCATGTAATATTAGCGTATGTAAGATAACTTTGGATGTAAGAAAAATAAAGTGATTTTTTTGGGAAAACATATGTTTAACTTTGTTATATGAGTATTCTAATATTTTTTGAAATTTTGGTGTTTATTGTATTTATATATTATATATAATATTAATTATATTGTATTTTATTAAGAATATATTATATATATAATATTTTGCATGTATTATATATAGGAAGAATAGGTTTTTAAAATTGGTATCATTTTTAGGATAGCGATGTTAATTTATACAATTTTACATGGAACTAAATACTCAATAAAGTGTTAAGGGTGCGTTACAAGAGATGCGTGGGGGGGGGGGGGGGAGAAATTAAGTGTTATGGGTGCGTTACAAGGAATGGGGGGGGGGGAGGGGGAGGGATCTCTCCAAGATATAATTTCGTCAATAAGTATCCCAAGAAATTTAGTTGTTTCTGTTCTTTTAAGGTTTACATTATGTATTTTTATTGAGGAAAGGATCTTTGGTTTATTATTTTTTTGTTTTTTGAAATAATATATATAGCCAAAAATTATATGAAAGAATCCAATATTTTATTCTCTTTGGTATTTTTTAGAAATATTCATTTTAGGTGATTTGAAAAGTTTTTTATATCATCTTTAGGTGGCCTGTAACAGGTGGGCACTAGTATTTTTTTTAGTTTTTTGTTTCTTATTTCAATTGTAAAGACCTCACCATCGATATCAGAAGCAAAAAGACCATCTCTAATTTTAGTGATCAGATCATTATGAATATATGTCATAATTTCACCTCCTCGTTTTTGAACTTTTCGATATTAGTTTGTAGTTTGGTTTGAATTTATTCTGGATGATTCCTCAGAACACCAAGTTTGTGTTAAGCAAATCATACTCAACAAATAATTACATTCTACAAGAAAATGTTTTAGTACGTCAATATTGTTAATTATATTTTTTTATATTTCTGTGTATCACCGTAAAGTTATTATTTAAGTTCCTAAAAACCGCGAGTTAAATTTATTTTCATTAAAAAAATGCAAATCTTGATCGTAAGAGTTATTAAGTAAATAGTTATTAGTCGATTTGAAAACATTAAAGTGTTGTGTTTCGTAATCTATTGTTTGTTTAGCCATTAGTTAAGAGATATTCACAATAAATAAATAGTCTGGAAACGCGGACCGCATCCTACAAATTTGAAGTTGAAATAGGTTTATGCGGCCCGCTCATTCTGCACAAAAACACAAATATTATGGCAAATAACGAAGAAAATTTTGAGTACATAAGTTTAAATGATATGCATATATTGTTTAATGATGGTTTTTTAAACGAAAAAATTTTAACAAAGAAGTAGATGCTGCTGGTTTTGAAATTCCAATTGAACCGTTACGTTTTCAATGTAATCTAAGACAGAATAAGTTAAAACACAAACCTGAGTGTAACTCACATGATTTGATAAAAGAATATTCTTTGAAAAAGTTACACTCTTTGAAGTTAAAATGTATTATGAACGAGTGTGTGTCTATTGTTGCCGAAGATATGTGTTTACCATCTTCTATTCGTGATATTTTTAAATTCTTATCTTTTTCAGTTGAGAATGCGAACACTTTTTGGGAAGTAGTTAGAACAATTTATATTTGTTAAATAATTTGCTCAAACGTCAAAAAAGTTGTCAACGGCCTTGATATGATGTGATAGTAGGAAGTTCAGTAAATATGTATATGATAGCAGAAAATTCAGTAAATATATATATGATAGTAGAAAATTCAGTCAATATGTATATGATAGTAGAAAATTCAATCATTATGTATATGATAGTTGAAAAGCACTTAAATTAACTTCTTTGATTATTAAATAACAATTTTAAACAAGAATCTTTAAAGTTACTGGGAATTTTTGTTAATACAAATAAATTTACATTAAATACATCATATAAAAATAAGCAAAATAACTGAAATGATATACTACCTTAGTCATTGCCATGGCTAGGTGGTCGGAGGGCCCTCCCAAAAAACCTATCATTGGGCCCCTCCCAATTGGGGTGTGTAGGGTAGCCTAGCTACAACTCAGACCTTAGTCAATATTTAAATCTTTTTTAATTTTTTATAATTCGGTTTTAAATAAATATACTTTAACTTAATTTATAGCTGCATTAATTATGCTAACATTACCATTTGGCATATACCAATCCAGGTTAGCCATTAGACTAATACTCAATTAGGTAAATTTAAAAAGATATTTAGCATGCAAAAGTTCGGTAAAAGCAGATATGATTATGAAATAGTGAATTTCAACTTATCCGTTTTTCTACGAGAATAGTAAAGGGAAGGAAAAAGTATTCACGTGAACCTGCTGAGTATAAATTTTTATTTTTAGAAGCAAAAATAAGTATGTTAGCGTGATTTTTTTTCCTTTTTTTTCCCTATTCCTGTATAAAAACGGAAAAGTGGAAACTCAGCTTAAAATTGTTATCGAGAGAAATTAAAATAATTTATGCAAATGATTTAAAACAATTTAAACACAAGATCTTCAGAAATTTAACCAAAAAAAAACGTTTTTTGTTATGCAATAAAACTTTGGTTTGTTTAAATGTCATACGGTTTTAACTTTAGTTTCCACTTATCCATTTTTCTACTGGAATTGGAAAGATAATGGAAAAATACGTTTTTTTTTCGGACAAATAAAAATTTATCTAAAAGTTTTTTTTTCTGAAACTTTAAATTATATTGATTACCTAAACTATATTGATTACCTAAACTTTATTGATTACCTTTTTTTTTTTTTTTTTTTACCTTTTTTTGATTTTAAATTGGAGTATAAATATAAGTTTAATAAATATAAATTTTAAGTATCAATTTATTATTATTGATATTTTTTTTTAAATTAACAATAATAATTATAATAGTAATAATAATAACAGTAATAACAATAATAATAATAACAATAATAACAACAAACTTCGTTTTTCGCTTCATAAATAAAAATAACTTTAAAAATTGAAATCTTAAAAATATATGTTTAATAAACATTTGCTTTATGTTATTTATGTATGTTTATTTAAATTTTTTGTTAAGTCATTATTTATTTTAATTTGAATAATATTTGAACAAATAACGTTTTTTTGACTGACAAATTAACAAAGAAACGTACTGAATAGGTCCCATTCTTTTTCATTTTCTACTTTATTATAGAACGTAGTTAATAATAAAATGATAATAATATAATAAAATAATACAATAAAATAACATAATATAATAATAATAAAATAATAAAATATTATTGAATTGACGCTTGTTTTTTAAAGTTTTGACAACAACTTTGTTTATGCTTACATAGTCAATACCTAAAAGATGAATTAAATTTAAAGTTATTAAACTAAATTTTATTTTCTTAATGATACGTTACGTAATTTGTCTTAAGACAACAAAGCGTGAAATATGTTGTATAATAATAATAATAATTAAGAAAAAAAGCAAAAAGAAAGTAAAAATAAAGAAACTTTAACGAATGAATGAAAGTTTATTGAGTTAATCTTCTAAAAACAATGCATCAAAGGAAAAGAAACTGATAAAATAACATTTGCCAAATTAAATTAGTTTAAAATATTAAAAAGTATAAAAAGCTTCCAACTAAACATTTTCTTAATGTGTCAACATTGTAAGCTAGGTGGATGCTTCTATTCAAATATAAATTTTTCAATATAAGAAGCATTTTTGTTGTTGTTTTATTTATAATCGTGTTTAGTATAGCTGACCAAGGAGTATTTTTAGAGATTCTGAGCACAATTGAATATCAACTTGCTTTGAAATAAAGGCGGCGCGAGGGGTATAGGGAGTATTGTTGTTTAAAATTAAAATTCAATATTCAGAAAATTTTTACTTGAATTATAAAAGAATGAGTTTATGTACGTGCTTCTGATAACCCTCTCATGAGGTCCAAAATAAAAAAGTTACATAAAGATTTTTAAAAAAATTATCAAGTCCAAAAATAACAAGAACCAACAAATAGCAGGGTTTTTCGACAAATCAATCTGTCTGGTGTTCCATTGTTGTCTTATATATAACAGTTTATGTTTAAATTGAAACTTTATACCTCAACTCTCCATCTTTTATGTGGTATTAAATAAAACAACGATATATAGTAACTTGAGTTTGCAAGTTGTAAGAAAGAATTGTGTACTTTACAATTTTACTTTACAATTTTACAAGTTTTTACTTTACCTTTATACTTTCAAAACTTATTTTTCAAATCAAATCATTTTGTTTTCCGCTGTGTAAACTACCTAAATTGTGTTATAGTTGATGAAATTTCCAAGTAACTTTACAGTTTGAAAGTAATGAGTTTTGCAGTTTTTGTTTTATTAATTGCTGCATGCAATGAAAATATTATTTCATGCAATGCAAAACAAAGTGCATTAGATTTTTTGACAGATTATAACAACAAATCTAAGTACATGGAATACGAACTTGCCGAAGCAAGCTTTATAAAAGCTACCAATATTACTGATTATAACACCAATGTTTCTGAAGCTGCATCAATAACATACAGCAAACGTATGAAAGAAATTCGGTTTGAAGCCTCAAAAATTGATACAACAAACGTAGACGCTGACTCAAAAAGACAGTTACAAATGCTAAATGTAACAATGGAATCAAAAAATGCCGAAATAGTTAAAAAAATATCTACAATTGGAGGAGAAATGGAGAATTTATACAGCAAAGCAACAATACCGAACAACAAAAAGTTTATTAAATTGATACCTTCCGAGGTCAATCAGCTCAGTCTTGATCAACATCTCAAAAAAATCCTCGCAGAATCGCATGATCCAGATGAATTGCTTTACGTCTGGGAAGAGTGGCATAATCGTGCTGGTCCCCCAATTCGTAATTTATATACAGAATTTGTAAAGTTAAATAACATTGGAGCAATAGAGAATGGCTTCCATGATGCGGGCGATTATAAAAGAAAGGTTTATGAAATTGATGATTTGCAAAATATAGTAGAAAAATTCTGGGAAGAACTTAAGCCATTTTATCAGGAGCTTCATTCTTATGTTAGATACAGACTTGTTGCTCATTACCCTAATTTGGTAAAGGACGGAGAACCTATTCCAGCCCATCTATTAGGAGATATGTGGGCACAATCTTGGGCAAACATATTTAATTTGACAGTACCATATCCAGGTAATATAGAAAGTTATTATTTATATATATTTAGAGTTAGATTTAGAAAATCACTCAACAAAAGTTTTTCTCATTTCACTCTGCGTTTCATCATTAAAGACTCATTAGAAATTTCTGATGAGTCTTTATTGATGAAACACAGTGTAAAAAAAGAAAAAATTTGTAGAGTGATTTTCTACTAATTTATAATTGCTCTGTACTTTTAAGAACATTAAACACTCTATTTTGTAGAATATATTTTGAAATTGTTTATATATATATATATATATATATATATATATATATATATATATATATATATATATATATATATATATATATATATATATATATATATATATATATATATATATATATATATATATATATAGTTTATATATGTATTTATATATATATATATATATATATATATATATATATATATATATATATATATATATATATATATATATATATATATATATATATATATATATATATATATATATATTAGGGTGTCTTAACCACTAGCTACTTTCTAAATATTATCCAAAATCCGAATTCATTCGGGGTCGTCCATAAGTTACGTCACGCAGTTTTTGACCCTCCCTCTCCTTTCCTCGTAACGCATCAGTAACTTTATTGACCCCCTCCCCCAATATTACAACAATTTTGTATCCCCTCCCCCCCCACCTTCCTCAAAAAAAAAATAATAATAGATAATAAAAAATTAAAAATTTTTTTTTTAAAGAGAATGGGAGGGTGTGCAAAATTTTACAAAACACAAAAAGATTTTAAATATAATAATGTCTATAAGTCTCTGAGCTTCTTTCAGATAATTAATTAGTACTTTTCAGTCTGTTTAATGTTTTTTTTTCACCCCAATAGTTCCGTGTAAAATTGTATAAATTAACATCGCTGTCCTAAACATGATACCAATTTTAAAAATCTTTTTATATAATATATATATATATATATATATATATATATATATATATATATATATATATATATATATATATATATATATATATATATATATATATATATATATATATATATATATATATATATATATATATATATATATATATATATATATATATATATATATATATATATATATATATATATATATATATATAATATATATATATATATATATATATATATATATATATATGTATATATATAATATATAATAAATAATAACATCTTATACATGCAAAAACATTAATTTATAAGTACAATTTTTTTCAAACTAGAAACGTAAGCGTGGTCGAGTGGACTCTACCTCCGGCTTGTAAACCGAGGTGTCCAGGTTCGTTTCTTGATATTTTTTTTAGAAATTAAACAAAGGTTGTTTTTTTTGTTGATTCACACTTTTGTGCACGAACTAAATAAAGTTCTGCACTTGAACCATATAAATTCAAAGCGTAGAACGTGCACTGCACAAACAGCCGGAACAGTCTGTTAACATGCTGTAGCGAAGTGTACACATCGACCATGTAAGATTTAGGCGTAGATAATTTTACAATCAACATGTAGATACATAAAATGAGGGTTTTGTTATGGTCAGAGACTCTTTTAATTAAAAGAACGTCTTCTCTAAAAAAAAAAATGTTGCGTTACAAAATGGAGACCGCCTCCCCTTCTGAACAATCCTTCACAAAGTTGCCTCCTCCTCCCCCCCACTCCCCCCTAAGTATGACATAATTTATGGACAACCCCTTTCGACAAAATTTAACTAAGTTGTTTGCCAGATCCAATTAAAGGTTTTTAGAGAAAGAAAAGATCTTTTTCTGAAAGTAAGGGGCGTCAAGTAAGGGGCGTTAAAATCACTCTAATATATTTACATCATATATTATTCATTTCTTGAGCAAAATTTGCAGCAAACAGTAAAAAATTTTAATATTTTTTGAACTAGATGCATGATTGGCTGATTACCTGGATAAACTTTTTAACTCCTTTAAAATTGTAATAGTTTTAGCTATTTTTAAACGATCTGGAAATATTCCCTGTTTTATTGAACAATGAAAAACTCTAAATAGTACATCTTTTAGGAGTTCATACGAGTCGATGAAAACATTACTAATTATTCCATCGTGACCAAAGGATTTATTTGTTTTAAGCATTTCCTTAAAAAAAAGTTCTAGATGTTAAGGACGACGATATCGGAAAATCTTAAGCATTTATTTTGTTAGTCACAAAAAAAATTTTTTTTTGCTAAATTTGGGCTAACTGATACAAAATATTTGTTTAATTTTTGATTTATTTGTTTTTTGATTGAAATTTTGATTAATTTGTTTAATTTATCAGATATCATAGTTGGATTGGATAAAAAACTATCGTTAAATTTTAAAGTTTTGGGTTTACGTGTTATCCGCGTGCCGTTAAGTAGTGTATGATTGTATTGATGTACACTACGAGTTGCAGTGTGCACTCTGCGGCTACGGTGTACAGTTGCAATGCAGTCGCAGGCTGCAGCTACGGCTAGGCCTATATCAGTAATTTTATGCATTTTTTAAAATTTTGAAAAATTTTAACAATAAATAAATATAACTAATAATAAACAACAAAAGTAGTCTAAAACTACTTCAAAATAAAACATTAAAAAAAACATTAAAACTTTATAAATATCAAAAATGTTAACATAATTTTTTTTTGCGTACCGCGTCTATTCATTTTTATATGCGCCTTTATTCATTTTTATATGCGCATTTATTCATTTTTATATGCGCCTTTATTCATTCTTATATGCGTTTTACAAAAGCAATTGTAAAAAAGCAATTTGAACAAAAAAAATCATTTAAGCAATTTGTTTTGAAAAAACAGTTTATTTTTTCAAAACAAATTTTTCTTATTTCCAGGTAAACGAGGTTAAAAATACTTAAAACGAAGACTTTTTACATTCGACGATGGTTTATTTAATTTAGTATTAGTTCTTTGTTTTCGATGATAGTTTATTTAATTTAGAACTAGTTCTTTGTACTTTTATTGTTAAATTTCTTGATTGATTAAGTTATTATTTATCTAATTATTCATTTATCTACACCTTTTCAAGATGTAATTGAGAAAACAAAAATTGTAATTAAGAATCGTAAGATGTAATTGAGAAAACAAAAGTTGTAATTAAGAAACGTAAGATGTAATTGAGAAAACGTAAGTTGTAATTAAGAAACATAAGATGTAATTTAGAAAACGAAAATTGTAATTAAGAATCGTAACATGTAATTGAGAAAATGTAAGTTGTAATTAAGAAATAGAAAGATGTAATTGAGAACACGAAAATTTTAATTTAGATATCGCTTTAAAGGAGTAAGTGTAAAATGGCGCTTAAAAAAAATGGCGCGTAAAAAAATGGAGTGTATAAAATGACGCACTTAAAAATGACGCAAGATTTGTAGCGTAAATTTAATTTTTTAGGGAAAAATTTAGGGAAAAATTTATAATTTTTGGGCAAATGAATTTAACATAATAAACACTAAAAACATTTTAGGGAAAAATTTATAATTCAATTAAAAATTATAATTAAAAATTATATAATTAAAAATCACTTCATTGATCATTTATGCACCAACTTGTACGTCTTCCATATTTAAAATAGTTGCATAGTGCGTGGTTGTGTGTTGTACCGCACGTGCACAATCTCCTCCCATTATAGTATTTTTCGCCTCAATTACAATTCGTTCTAAGTACTGCATGCGCTGTTCCGCAATCCAGTCACCTAATACAGGTGGAATGCGAATTGCATTTTTAACGTTACTTTTAATTTTGGACCAGATCGTTTCCACCGGGTTCAACATTGGACTGTAAGGTCCCAAACGTAACAACTGAGCTGGTGAATTATCAAACACCCTTTGCAAACGAGCGTGACAAGGAGCATTATCTGTTACTACGACCAAATCCTCCAAACGATTCCCGGATGTAACCCACTGGTGAAACATAGCCAACATCCACTCGTTACAGGAATCTGCTTTAAATGATCCCCTGCGAGTTTCTATCATGACGACATTTGTAGTTGAAATAGCTGCGATCAAGTGTATGTTTAAACCTTTTGAAGCAGGTACTTTCATAATTGCTCTTTTTCCTTGTCTCGCGCGTCCTTGCGTTTTTCTACAAAAAAGGTTAAAATTTGTTTCATCCAACCAAACTATCTGACGACCATTTGTGATATGTTCGTTGATGTTTCTAACATATTCAGCTCTTTTCTGTTTGTTTTCATAACTGTTCATTGTAGAAGGCTCCTTGTGCACTTTTTTTAATGAGAACAATCTGCCTTCGAGGTAATTTGCTATTGTTGTTTTGCTAACGTTTATGTTAAATTGTCTTAATATCTTTGTTTTGATGGCCACCAATGTTAATTGACAATCATTTTCAATCCATGTTAATGTTTCTTCGATTTGATCTTCGGTCAACTTTTTCGGTTTAAAACCTCCTTTTCCGATGAAATTTGAATTTCCGCTGCGAACCCAATTGTATGCTGTCTTATATTTGATACCTAGCGTTTGCGCGAGATTCACCCAATCTTCAAATCGCTCCGCACATTTAACAACTCTTCTCCTGTCATTTGGAGAAGATAAAACGTAACGTTTCCTTTCAACTTGTTCAGTTGTGTGTATTTCATGCCGACAAATCGGACAACTTGAATCTGGTTGTTCCAGAACTGGACATAAACAAATTTGGTGACATAAATGTTGAGACGGATTTAGCTTAATCACAGACTTTCGGGTCATAGTGTATTGGCATATAACACAACGATCTTTCAATTCCATTATTATTACTTGTGCATACAAAAGCAAAATTTAAGATTATAACTTAAATTCATGTCCAAAAAGACCTTTTGTAACAACCTAGAAACTTAGACTGTGAATTTGCTATTTTAATTTATGTGTTCTCAATTACAAGTTACGATTTCTCAATTACATATTATGATTTCTCAATTATATCTTACGTTTTCTCAATTACATGTTGTGTTTCTTAATTACATGTTACGACTTCTTATTTACATGTTGTGTTTCTCAATTACATATAACGTTTTCTCAATTACATGTTGTGTTTCTTAATTACATATTACGACTTCTTAATTACAACTTTCATGTTCTCATTTACATCTTGAAAAGGTGTAGATTTAAATTTAATTATTTCTAATTATTATTAATATCAATAGTTAATAGCTGTAATACTTAATAGCTATACCAAGTAATATAATACTTAATAGCTATACCATGAGAGGCTAGTGTTTGCCAATTAGAAAGACTCAAATATAAGACTGATCTTAAAAGTTATTGCTAAAATCAAATCTTTCAGATTAGATTTCATGAAATAAAATAAAAATAAAATAAAATAAAATAAAATAAAAATAAAATAAAATAAAATATAAAAAAATTAAATAAAAATAAAAGTTATTGCTGAATTCAGCAATAACTTTTAAGATCAGATGAAACAACATTTGAATTACCAACCATTAAGTTAATGAAAAAATACAACATACTTTGAAATATACAAAACTTTTTGAGGTAAAGTACATTTTAAATAAACTATGATTATTTACTCAAATTTGCAGTAATTTCAGCAACATTCACACTCAATGATGAACATTTTTAAATGTAAAATTACTTTTCATATAATAAATCTAAAAAGCTTTATAATTTCGTACATTTTAATGCAATCTTCAATTCTTTTACCTTGTAAACCTAAAACAATAAATAAGAACCCAAAACAGTTATTTTAGTACTTGGTTATTTTGGGATTTGGTTATTTCAAAAACTTGTTTTTTAGTACCTTTTTTAAATGATACGTGATATCGATACGATCACAAACAATACGATAAACCTTATATATAATTGAACCCTGTATTTCAAAAACGTGACGAATCACATTTTTTTCAAAAGTGAGGTTATTTGAAAAAAATTTTTTTTTTTAGGAAAATTTGTTGCTTCCGATAAAAAATTTCTCTGATTTAAGATGTAAGATGGAAACACTTATTACTTTATATAAGCTGCAAAAAAATTTTTATACAATTTTTACAGGATTAATATTTTTCACTCTCCTCTAAAATTTTAATTTTGTGAATCGTCACGTTTTCAAAATACAGTGTTCAATTATGCTTAGCTTGATAAATAAAATCTAAATTTCTCAAATTGTTTCTTCCGTATATTTAAATAGAGAGTTTTTATAAGAATTAATCTAATTTTTCTAGATGAACCAAGTCTTGACGTCACGGCTGAGTTGAAAAAAAAAAACTACGATTATCTAAAAATGTTCAAAAAGGCAGAAGAGTTTTTTACTTCAATAGGTTGGCCGTCACTTCCTCCTAGTTTTTGGAAAAAATCTATGTTTGTTCGACCGGATGATCGAAATGTCACCTGCCATGCTTCTGCGTGGGATTTTTCGTTAGTTATAAATGGAAGTCAAGATGTTAGGTAAAACTAAATTAAAATTAAAATTTAAAATAAAACTAAATTTTGAATTTTGTCAAAAACTTTAGCTTAAAACGAGATTAACCTACTACATTACATTTAAAGAGTGACTAAAAACTTTTTTTATTTTTTTTTTGAAATGCTTTGACCCTAATTTTATTTAAGCTTATCAATAAATATATGTCTATGGGTATAAGATATTTTTGGCATTCTTTTTATTGATGTCCTAGTCCAGATACAATATAAGCATAGATCAAAACAATGAAGAAATCAAGGTATAATGAATAAGTATTAGGTATAAAAATGGTATAATAATAGATAAAAGAAAAAATTAATCTGGTACAAAAACGAATTTCAATGATCATTCTTTTAACAATATAATGTTAAAGCACAAAATGTCTATTTAAGTTTGATACACTTTATTTAAGTTTGGTATGTCTGCACAGTCTTCTGTAAAACCTGTAACTTTATTTGATATCCTACAAAGATTGTTCACACTTAACTAAGAAGTGACATTAAAAGGAAGATTAAGATGTGTCTGGAACATGTTCAAAAATTTGTTTCTAAAAATGAAAAAAAAAGAAAAGTTGTACACTTCATACATGTTCTCACATACAAGTGTGGTGCATGCAATAAAATACTTGTATGTTCTCACATACAAGTGTGGTACATGCAATAAAATATGGTCAATAGTTAAGTAAATCAGAAGAGTGACTCCAAATGGTAATGTAAATGTGAAAAGTGACTCCAAATGATAAAAAAAAAAGCAATAGTTTTTGACAAAGAATAGGAAAAGTAAATGTATCTGACAGGGTGCAACAGAAGATTCGGGTGGTTTGGTCCAACAATAACAGTATAAGAGTTATTAAATTCTGCTACAAATTCAACTAGTTTATGGCTGATTGCTATTCAGTTACCTACCGGGTCACTTGACAAAATTTCAGCATTTTAACTCATATAATTTTTTAAGTTTTAATCTTATTGTATAATTAAGTAAATATTTCATAATATTATATTATTATATAGTTTTATTTTATAACATAAATGTATATATATTATTATATAGTTTTATATGCTTAACATAGAGTAAAAATGTGTACTCAAGTCACGCAAGATGATTTTAATACCATTCATCATGAACTTGGTCACATATACTACTACTTGTTGTATTGGGATCAACCTAGTTTATACAGAACAGGAGCAAATCCAGGTTTTCACGAAGCAGTGGGTGATACATTGGTTCTCTCAGTTCAAATACCTGATCATTTAAAGGAAATAGGAATTCTTGAAAGTGTTTCAAACTCAAATGGTAAAACTTTTATTGAACTTTATTATAAAGCTAATTTAACTTATATTGTCTTTAATCATTTTTAACGATCTATTCACCATTTTTTTTTTGTTCTTTTTATTTATTCAAAATAAGTTTTACAATATAAGAATGAATAAGATTCATAAAATACATATAGTAAAAGTTACAAACTTTGTTAGCGTTAAAATAAGAAGAACGCGGATACTCGCAGAAGATCATAAGATCTTGTCATCGAAAACCGCCTAAACAGATTTTAAATAAAAAATAATCCACTAATAATTCATATATAAATTTTCACACTTAAATAAAAATATAATTTTTTACACATTTAATTTTATAAAAACATACAAATATATATACTTATATATATATATAAGTTAAGAAAAAAGATTTCATATATATAAATTACGATAAAAAGATTTCTTAAGAGTATTAATATAAAACAAAACAAACTTAAAAATATATAAGAATGTTTTCAATTGAGAAAAGAATTTTTTTCAACTTTCTTTTAAATAAGAGAAAGCTCCATTCTTGAGAAAAATCAAAAAGTTTTAATACTACTTTGTTCCATAAAAATGCTCCTCTAAATGAAATGCAAAACTTACCAAAATTAGTTTTGAAAACTGGTTGAATAAAATTTTCATTACGCAAATTGTATTTATTTTTAACTTTTAAAGAATATAAATTGTGAAAAGAAATTGGAGATGTGCGTGTTTTACATTTAAACTTAAAACACAATACATTAAAAATATTAAGTTGATATATATTAAAAATATTCATTTCGTTTAATAGAAGCTTAGCATGATAAAAACGATTTTTAAAAATTAATAAGTCGTGCAACATGTTTCTGTTGGCCATTGTAATTCATCTTTAATTATGTTTCAGTTATATATATATATATATATATATATATATATATATATATATATATATATATATATATATATATATATATATATATATATATATATATATATATATATATATATATATCCGTCGGCTGGTGTTGAAGAAGTTGTTGAACCAGTTTTTAAGATCCTCTTCGCTATCAAAGGTAACACCCATCATTTGGTTTGATAGAGAGCGGAAATGGTGATAGTTAGTAGGTGCAAGATCCGGAGAGTACGGTGGATGCTGAAGAATCTCCCATTCAAGCTATTGGAGTGCTGTTTTGACGACTTAGGCAATATGGGCCTAGCATTGTCGTGGAGCAAGATGACTTGACCTTGTCTATCGGATTTTTTCAGCCAAATAGCCTCATTTACACGGTTCAGCTGGGCAATGTAGACCTCCTTGTTGACAGTGGCGTTTTGCTCGAGCATTTCCCAGTGCACCATGCCTTCCCAGTCCCACCAAACGCAGATCATGGCCATTTTTGGGTAAAGATCTTGCTTGACTCTCGGCTTCGGCGTCTCTCCTGGGGACACCCACTTCTTCCTTTGCTTTACATTGACGTACAGACACCATTTCTCATCTCCCGTGATGATTCGACACAAAAAGCGCTGTTTGTGTCCATGTGTTGCTCGGTGGCGGGCGAGATGTTGAGCAGCGATTTGAAGGCGTTTTTTTTTGTTTTCTTCGTTGAGCTCGTGAGGTACCCATGCTCCGAGTTTTTGAGTAAAACCAATTGATTGAAGGTGGCGAGAGATTGTCATTGCACTGATGTTCATTTTTTCAGCCAATTCACGATTTGTTTGGCAACCATCTTCCTTCAATAGTGCCTTCAGATGCTCTCCGTCGAATTCTGCAGGTCGTCCTCTTCGAGGCGTGTCTTTAAGGTCAAAGTCGCCATTTTTAAACTTTGCGAACCACTTTTGTGCAGTAGACACACCTAAGACACCTTCCCCGTACACACTGCATATGTCTCAAGCGGCTTCGGCTGCTTTTTGACCTCGATGAAAAGCAAAGAAAAGCAGATGTCGAAAATGCTAATTTTTTCCTGCTGGGTATTCCATTTCTGAGCCAGAAAAAAGACAAACAATTAAACTATCCAAAAAAACAAATAAAACCGTTTTGTAGACGAGAAAGAGTTCTTTCGAATAAATGTATGTACTTTGCTAAAAAACAAAACAAATCGTTGTAAAATACCTCATTGCACTTTTTCCACTGTATTGTTCATTTCAGTGCGATTTGGCGACCAAACCGGAGAGTAATATTCTAAGATCAATCTTATATAGTGTAGTGTAGGCTTTAACAATAACACGTGGATCACGTCTTTTAAAACACTTAAAGATTAGCTATCCTTTAATGTTTGATGCGAAATATGATTATTGTAATTTAAGCAAGAATTCATGGTCACACCAAGATCTTTTGGGTTTGCAGACCAGGTTAAATTATAAATTACAACTATCAATTAGGAGATCATATCTTTACAAAATGAAAATCTTTATAAATGTCTATGTCGAAAGTTCTTGAATTTCTTTTTGCTTAATCATATTTTAGTACTAATAGAACTTGCTTGTTCTCCGTATTGGCGGGTTTTCAACGCTATTATCATAACTTTATCAACGCTATTATAATAACTTTATAATTAAGAAAATTTGTCTTTAATTTTAACGTTAATTTAATTTGAAATATTATTTAGCGCAAAGAAACTTTATATAATTTTCATTATTATTAAGTTTCCAAAAAGTGGATACAAGTAAAAAGTTGCCCGTTTTTCAGTATTACTTGAAACGTGATAAAAACCAGGCAAAACTAGGTATTTTTTAAGTTTACAAACACCTTATAGTCCAACAATGATTCTGGGATAAATAATTTAACATATGAAATCAATTTAAATAAAACCTAAGAACATAATGAAGTTAAAATGGAAGCAAAGAATTGAGCCAAAACAGAAAACCGAGCAAAACTGAAGAGCCATCACGGTAAGCTAACTTCAAAACAATTTGCCGACTAAAAATCATTGATGGGGGGGGGGGTGTCACACACTCCCTATCGCGCCGGCCTTGCCTGCAGATTTAACGCTTCAAAACACTGTTCCTGCGGATTATTTTTTTTTTGTACATAGGAAGAAATTTCTGATTGACCTCAGACTCTCACAAACCATATTTAAAAATAGTTATGAAATGTACTGTAAACTGTCGATCAAAAAGTTACCTAATAAATTTTGAGATTTGTTCATTTTAGCTCTTTTTATTGCCAAAAATTTTTGAACAGCGAAAGTCATCCTAGATCATGGCTAATACTCAGAAAAATTAAATAAAATATTTTGTTTCTATTGTAATCTATTCAACAATACAGGTATCACTCTTGCAAAAACAGGATATGATGACTGGAGGCATTTATCACAAAAATTAACAAGGCATGAAATTAATGCTGATCAGTTTGAAAGGTGGCTAATCGAGTTCAAAAAAATCGAGTTAAAAAAAGACTTCGAAGTTCAAAAACCGTTGATTTTTAGGTTCATTTTAACGGAGAATCAACTTTTTAATAAAATTGATCAATGAAATAATATTCCAAAGAAAGTAATTTCCATAATCATTTTGTGATGGCATCACAAAACATGGCATTAGAGAATCATCTGATAAATACTATAAAGAAAACAATGGAAATTTCCTAAAAATAGTTGAACGTCTAGCATCTAATTTTAGAATTCTACATACAAGTATGTTCACTCAAATGTAAAATTCTCAACATCTTTTTCCACTTTAATTGTGAACTGCTATTGCTTGATTTAGTGGAAGAAGAATCGTTATCATCATTCAATTAACTTAAAGTGACAGAACTTTATCATCACAAGCAAACGACAAAAATAGAATTTTTGACACTTGTTTGAGCAGAGCTGCGCTCGTTCCAGAGTTTTTGTATCTCCGCTTCGTTTTCTTGAACAGTCAGTGATTTATCAATACCTCCATGCTACATACTACAACTAATAGTATCTTCTTTTTTGTCTTCAATGTTCTTTTAATCAATTTAAGTGTGTTTTCTATCGAAATATCGGATGGGTTTTTTAAGCATGCTTTAATAACTGTTGATGTATAACTGTCGAGGTGTAATGTATATTTTTCCCGAGGTGTGGAGTATGGTTTTCTTTAGCAGTATAAAATGCATGGATATCTCCAAGCAACGGATATCTCCAAGCAACGGATATCTCCAAGCAACGGATATCTCCACGCAACTTTGTCTGTTCTTTGCGTTGGAATTCTTCCTCTTTAACAAATTTTTACTATAACTGTTACCCGGATGTTTAACTTATTTTTCTCATGTTGTTCAAGATGGCAATGATAAAGCATGCAAACAACCTCCCTTTGAGATTTCGCTGTAGATAAATATCAGTTAGTTTTCCAACAGCCACACATTAGCCAAAAATCTTGTTAACGTCATATTAAATTTGATTAATCATTTAAACAAAGTAGTAAAACTGTTTTTACACCTGTTTCAGTTATTGTTATATACTCAAAAATATAAACTAGGAAAGTTTTTCGTCAATATCAAATTTAAATGGTAAATATTTATTATTTTCTATAGTTTTCCACAAGTTTACTATAAAAAAAAAAGACTTTATTATATATATATATATATATATATATATATATATATATATATATATATATATATATATATACATATATATATATATATATATATATATATATATATATATATATATATATATATATATATATATATATATATATATATATATATATATATATATATATATATATATATATATATATATATATATATGTATATATATATAACTTTAACACCTTGCATTTTAGTAAAAAATGCAAGGTGCTAAAGTTAGCTCGTTGAGCAGCCTTTCAAATGCTCATTAAAACTCTATTTTAGTCAACCTAGCATTAATAACTAAATACACATAAAAGTCTAAAGTAACGCTAACCTCATAAATTATAAAAAATTATAACATCAACTCGATAAACAACCAATTATATACCTATACAATGCCATCGTTTGACTAATTATAATGCTTTTTTTTGCTCCAAAGTAATAAATGCGTTAGGCTAAATTCATTAAATAAAATATTGTGACAACTTTTTATGAAACTTTTAATATAAAAAAGAACTTAATATCATTTAGTTTACTTAACGCTATTTGTTTAGTTCCAAAGTGTATGTAAACTTATATATTTAGTAAAATATTATTTATAATTTTTAGGTATATAAAAATTGTATATAAAATAAATTTTTTTTTCAAAGGTGCGGATATTAACTTTCTACTTAAAACTGCAATGGAAAAAATAGCATTTTTACCCTTTGGTTATCTAATGGACAAATGGATGTGGGGCGTTTATAGTGGAGATATTCAACCATCTGAGTATAACAAAAAATGGTGGGAGTATAAGCTAAAATATCAGGGTGTTAAACCTTTAACTGCTCGCAACGAAGAGTTTTTTGATCCAGGAGCAAAATATCATATTCCTGCCGACACATCTTATATAAGGTATCAACCTATTTTATATACAGTTTATAAAGTTTTTAATCTTTTTATAAAAGACTTTATTATGGTTAAGGATGTATGTTTTTCCTTGTTATTTTGTTATGGTCTCAAAATTACATTTAATTGGGACCGCAGAGAAAATTTTACAATTCGAAAATTTCAATTTTCCGGGTGAATAAAAACAAGCAATTGCTTTTACTCAGTAATTGGTCAGCTTTACGTGAAAAAAAGCTTAAGTAATTTTAGATAAGTTTTTACTTGCGTAAAGCTGAACAATTACTGAGTAAATTACTTACCTTTACGTGAATAAAAATTTGTGGAAAACTGCTAAAGTTTTTATTCACGTAAAGCTGACCAATTACTGAGTAAAAGCAATTGCTCATTTTTATTCACCCGGCCTATGGTCTCAAAGTTACTTGTAATTCGGACCGTAGGGAAACAATTTACTTCAAAACAATATTTTTTTCCGCTTCGAACTAATCCCGCAGTTTTACATTAGTCTCTTAACTTTTTACATTAGTTGACAGCTATAAAAATAAGACAGCTTTTATAAAAATAAGGTGTTGGTACTAGTAAAAAAAAAGAAATTGCGTTTAATCAACAGAAAAATTATGAACATTAGTGGATGCTAACATGTAATGTTTTTATACCCTATGCGATATATATAGCCAAAATATTTGTTTAAAAAGATCGATATTAATTTTCTTTATCATTTTTACTTACCCAACGTGTTATATACTTTTTTTTTGTATCATTTTTACATTTATATCTTTTATATCGTGTATATCGTGTTACTTGTATCAACGTGTATATCATTTTTGTTCAACCCAACTTGTTATATTTTTATACCCTAATGTTTAAACTTATAAATTCAACAAATACTTAATAATGAACTCATTATTTTTATTGTTATATAATTGTCTTCTTATTGTGATAGTTGTTGCTGTCAATTTCTTATAATTTTATCAGTGTCATTAGTTGTCTAATTTATACCAGATAATTTGCCATTAATAATGTTATTAGTAACTACCTGTTAGTAGTAATGTATGCCTAATGGACCATAAGGTATAATTACAACGATAAAATAGTAACAAAATAACAACCTATCATTAGTTATGGTATGTTGTTATTTTGCTATTATTTTATCATTGTCATTAATTGCTTAGTTTATACCTGATGGTATGCTCTTAATACAAGTTTTTAACTATTTGTAAAGGTTCTTGGCTGTTATAACTTTTTTCAAAATATATTGATTAAAAATTTAGACATATCAAGAAATACAATTGAAACAAAAAAATAATAGAATATATTCTTCGTTCAACTTAATCTGACGTCTAAAAATTGTTTTGACGTCTAAATATTGTTTTGACGTCTGAACTAACGTTACTGTTTATTCTTATTTTGCAATTTGATTTTTGCCATATAAAAAATAAAATAAAAATCAAATTGTAAGAAAAAAACATAAAGCCATATGCAACCCTTTTAAACTTATTAGGAACCACTGATTTGAAATAATTTTTTTATTGCCTTATATCAGAGTTTTCTTATGATCTTTATTACGGACGTTATTTTTTAGTGCTTTTGTTAAAATTAAAAAATATATATGTTTTAGATATTTCTTTGCGCATATCCTCCAGTTTACTTTCCATAAACATGCATGCAAAGCAGCAAAATATGATGGACCTCTTCACAAGTGTTCAATATATAAATCTAAAGAAGCTGGGGACGCTTTTGGGTTGTTATAGTTGATTTATTACTCATTTTATATTTTTTACCTCTTCTTTCTTTATAACTTATAGTTTTTGATCATATTTTTGTTTTTATTTTTAATATTTTAATTTAGTGATATGTTGAAGCTTGGGAAAAGCAAGACTTGGCAAGCTGCTTTAAAACAGTTGACTGGATCTGAAGAGCTAACAGCAGATGCGCTTAACGAATACTTCTCTCCTTTACAAACGTGGTTAGAAAATCAAAGAAAAACCAAAAAGTATACGCTAGGATGGGAAGGAAAACCTGAGAGCAACAATTCAGCTTTATTTAACATTAACATTCATATGTTATTTGTACTTCTCATTTTTTCTTTAATTGAATTAGTATTTTAAATGTTAAAGGTGTCGCTTTCTTTACGAACGAAGTTTTATATTATTATCATTATTTTTAGTATCGTTATTGTTATAAATATAACAATACTTATTATAAATATAAATGTTACTATTATTATTAATTTGTTATTATTACTAATATTATTATTAATTAAGTATATATATATATATATATATATATATATATATATATATATATATATATATATATATATATATATATATATATATATATATATATATATATATATATATATATATATATATAAAGCACTAAAAAAAAAAAAATTAAGCATTAAAAAAAAAATTAATTTTTAGGGTCCCCGCCCGTTTGATTTTGGGCCAAAATTGTTTGGAGTTTTAAACGCCTGGCGGGGACCTTAAAATTTATCCTATAAAATTTTTTATTCTTTTAAATATTAGATGTTGGATTAAATATTATTAATCACATAAAAGGAGCATGTTAGAAAAATTAAGAAATTAGTCTACAGAATCTTCTGAAATTGGTGAAAAATCCAAATTTTTCTTTACAAAAACCTATTTATAACGTATAAAAAATGGCGTATAAAAATGTTTTTGATTTCCTACTAGACTATTTTCAGAAAAAAAATAGACTATTTTCAGAAAAAACAATAACCTAGATAGTTTTTATAATAGTGTCAAATGAGGTTTATATAGGTCTTTAAAAAATTTTCTTTTATCCGTGAAGGTAACCTGACCCTTACGCTAACCTTAATAGCCTAATAATAATAATAATTTATTTTAGTTCTTCTTAAAATAAAAAGTCTTAATGAACTTACTGCAACATGGTTAAAAGTGGTATTACCTCATGATTAGTAAGAATACGGTAGCTCGTCAAGTTTAAATGATTCTCGTTACATAGTTGTTTTTGTAAAAAAGCAAAAAAGAAAGAATGAAATGTTTAAGTATTAATAAATAAAAAATATATATTTACAATTCAATATTTTATCATTAAACAAACGTTTAAAAAACTTTATCAAAAACTTTATTTATAAACTCAATTAAAAACTATATTATTTATTTCGCAATTGCTTCATGTGCTGATTGCAAATCTTCCTTGGTCTTTGCCTTGTGAAGGTTTTCTTTGCTTTGGTGAATAGCAAGTAGTAACCCTGACAATTGTCTTCATTGTAAACATTGTTTAAAAAATTTTATACAACTTCAGTAGATCTTTCAGAAACGTCGTTAACCACTCCAAGGTTGGAGACTAATAGGGAAAAAATCTTAAACTGGTCAATATACTCCCTTAGTGGTGCCGGGCTGTTTAACCAAAAATTATCAATCAGTTTAGTGAGGTTTAACAAACTAAATATAAACCAAGTGCTTTTATCCACTTATTATCCAACACTTATTAACAAATTTTATTTCTCGGAATGCCAAAAAATTCAGGAACTGGTTTTGAGAAGATAACAGAAATTTCTTGATCTAAAAGAGCAAGTAGAAGCAAGGTTTCATCAAGGTACCATAAATGTGATTCAATTGAAACCATTGCGGTATTAATTCTATTTAAAATTGTTTCAGAATTCTGAAAATATTGTTCTCCGTATTCTTTATATTTCGTCATTTGCCAATAGACTTTTATATTTTGGTAAAGCGCTTCCGTAAGGTAAAGAAGTTTTTAAAAACGATACGGAATAAAAGATTGAGATAAACTCGGCCGTAAACTGCACTTCTCTCTTTTGATTATCTGTCAATTCTTAAGAAAGTACAACGTGCATGCGACACGCACCCTAGAGCTTAAATTTGAAAAACTCTTTCAGGGCATAAGTACGTAAGAGTCAGTTTCAATAGCTCTTTGCAATCTAATCTAGATAGGGTATCATATTTTACAAACTTTGAAATAGATAGGGTATCATATTTTACAAACTTTGAAAAGTCGATGCTACTTTTAATGTCATTCCAGTTTAATTGGAACCGTTTGAATATTAAGTTTTCTCGAAATTTAGTTTTTCCACTGCACTGTCTTTCACAGAAGTGCTTTAGATGTAATTTATAAACATGCCTCTTGCAAGCCATCTCTAGTACAATTTAATTTTGTTTATGACTAAACCTGACATTTGTACCAGAAAGTCTACCTGCATTTGTTGCAATCGTGTCAAAACATAAACCTTTTACGTTTTCATATATTCCATATTCATCCAGTACTTTTACTAAAGCATCATATTGAGCATGTACCATGGTCAATAGCTGGAATGTCAAGAAGCTTCATTTTACAATCAATATTTACTGAGACTGCAAATCGATCTCTTTTTGATTTTTACCTTCGGTAAAATCTTCGATAATTTTCTCATGAAAATGTGCTATTATGGAAAAAATAACTTTAACGGTAGCAATTTTAACATTTTTTCTTTATATTGTTCAGCATTCTCCCGAATAGATTTTTTTTGAGCTCGCCAAATAGCTGAATGAGACGATGAAAAATCGGCCTCATTTCCGCCTGAACTTACGATTAAATTCGTACATACATGCATAAGATCTCTTGATAAAATATTTTTTGATACTAATGTCATGGCAATATCTTTAACAAAATCCTTCCCTAACTCTTGTTTTTGATTACTTAGGCCGGGTTGCGCTAAATCAAAAGAAATATCTGATTCAGTACTAATATAACTTATGTCTGAGAAAAGCTCTAGTTCTTTAGTTGGTTCGTCTACTTGTGATAATTTTTTTTTTTTTTTTTAACATGTTTATTTCACAACTACAAAGTATTTACAATTGACCAATCACCGATTGGCGAATAAAGATATACAAATATAAATATCGTAAACATAAAGTCCAAAATAAATAAGGGATAAATCTAAAATATTGTTACATTCAACTTTGAGACATGATAAAAATAAATACAAAGTACACAATAGAATAACGTGAACGTAAAAATTACCCAAGAAATAAACCTTCTATATTCTTTTCAATCAGAATAATATATATATATATATATATATATATATATATATATATATATATATATATATATATATATATATATATATATATATATATATATATATATATATATATATATATATATATATATATATAAAAGTATGATAAAAACAAGATTTGTATAAGATTGAAGAAAATAATTAATTGTTTGTAGTTATAGGAAGCTCGCAGAAGACTAGGGTCAGTCTTGTCATCGAGTACCTTCTAGACGTGTAATACACATAAAAATCAGTTACATACGTGGCAAATATGTATGTGATACATATATGCCTTAAAATTATTAATATTACTATCTCCTTTAAGTATTATTTTTATTGATTCCTTTGAAAAGTTACATTTTTTGTTTTATTAGGGTTGTTTTATTTTATTTTTAATTTTTAAATTTTCAATTGGAGTTTAAAAAAACTCCTTGTAGTTGTTTAACTTGATTATTGTAGATTTTAACTTTGTTTTTAGGGACTGTTCGTTGTTTAAATTTATTAGCTATTTGTTTCTAGAAATTATTTTGTTAAATAAATAGGGACCACGGTGTTTTTTTGAAAACTTTGAGAGTTTATTTTTTTCAAAGGGTATCTTAAAGTTTCCCGTTGCTCTTGTATTGTATTTGTTTACGTTGTTTTCAAAAAAGTGTGCTGTAAAATGTTCTGGAACCAGACTTAGTTTATATTTAAACATGAAAAGTATATTTTGATAAATATTAATTTGAAAAATATTTAAAGCGTTCATTTGCTCCAGTAGGGGTTGAGCATGAGTTAAGTATAATTGTTTAGTATTATAATTTTTAAACTGCTTTTTTTCTTTGTTTACAGTCTTACACCTCATGTCTTTGCTCCCCAAAGCCATTAGGCGACTGGACTTTTGGAATTTTAAAAACTTGATATCAGGATAATATGAAATGTTTATCGATTTTCTTAATATTATCTTTACCAATCCAAAAAACCTGCTCCCTCTTCTTTTTAAATTCTTCCCTAGATTTCTCTGACGATTTAGAGTCATTACTCTTACTTTTCTTTAATGTCTGCAAACTATCGATTTAACAAGCGATATTCTGCAAACTATCGATTTAACAAGCGATATTCTGCAAAACGAGCGATGTTCTGCAAAAATTAAGACAATACATTAAATGAAGTTAAAATATTAATGACACATTTATAACAATTCACCATATTACATATTTGTTTTATTGTTTGATAATAAGAAATTTTATTTAATCAATAGTTAATCCTTATATTTATTATAAATCTTATATTTATTATATTATTTAGCTATAAACCCGTACGCAATAACAATAAAAATAATAATAATAATTGGAGTGGTATTTAAAAAAAAATCTTAATCAACTACTAGCCAAATAAGTTCAAAGAATTATAAAAATTTATTTTCACTATCATATTATAAATTGAAACTATTAAAATTAAAGATTTATCCGTTAATAATCCATCTTTGTAACCTCCGTCTAACCAAAGTTTACTTTGGTTAGACGGAAGTTACAAAAGTTAACAAACCATGGAAACCAAACAATGGAAAACCAAACAATGGAACAAAGTAACAAAGAATGGAAACCAAAGTAACAAAGTTACTTTGGTTTTCATTTTTTGATAATATTTCCCGATTAAATTTCGGAATTTTAAATTAATTGCGCTTTAATGCTTATTAAGTAGGGGTTATTAAGGTTAGTGTCCGGGGCAGGTTACTCAATAGATCAAATTATTTTTTTTAGACTAAATTTGACACTCTTATAAAAACTATCCAGTTTATAGTTTTTTCTGTGTCTGGAAACAGTTAAAAAGTTAAAAACGTTTTTTAAAAAATCAAAAACGAATTTTATACGCCATTAAAAAATCAAAAACGTTTTTTATACGCCACCGAGTGATTAAATAAGTTTTTGTGAAGGAAAGTTTGGATTTTTCATCTATTTCAGAAGAACCTGTAAACTAATTTCTTAATTTTTTCAACATGCTCCTTTTATGTGATTAATATTTAATCTAACATCTAATTATTTTATTTATTTAGATTTATTAAACACCCACTATACAAGTAAGAT